GAATTTGGTCAGAGGCATCCTTGGGGAAGAGGGACAAAGTCTGTATAAATGCGGGGTCTCGGCCGAACGCTGCCGGAGGGGATTGAAAATCAGTTTTGGATAAATGGTGGGTCCGGACCCAGTGAAAAATAACTAATTGGAGTGCAAGACATACCATATATTTCATCCACGAGTTTGTAACCCGTTTCTACCACCATCGAAATCTATTTCAGGTTTGGATTATCCCGTCCTGTACCAAATGTGTTTTATTTACGATATGACCTTTGGTGAAATGCCGCCATTTCATATTCTAAACTGATAATTTCAGAAATGCAAGAAGATATTTTAACTTATTACAAACTATAAGTAGAAATTGATTGGTGTGCTATCTTCAAGGCATTCTAATTTCCGTGGTTGCGTGAAGCACCCGTCGGGTCAATGTTCATTTTGCCAGCTCATCAAAACATGTTGAAGTGTATATATGTTTATACATTGAATTGATTAATAGATACCGTGGGAGTCGAACAGCACTCAGCACATTGTGGTAGAAATCAGAGTGATAAAATTTTATTGTTTTTCTTTTCGAAAAGCTAGAGTTGATACCTCTTATTTCAAGAGAGTCGTCCCTATTTTATATCAGCTTAAAGTTATCCAACAGAGTGTAATATAGAAGAAATCTGTGCTAGTTATCGTAAATATTTCTAATTTCATACGTAATGAAAGCACAACACTGACTGGTTATTGCTATACTCAGTACAGACATTTAAAACCATGCGCCAGGTAAAACCAGTCGAGCGAAACGTAATCTAAATGTTTTCAATACAGTACCTTCTTCCTGAATGACAAAACAACATGGAAAAATACAAATATGTGCTCATATTCTATATTCTGTGGGTATTACAACATTCAGGTACGTGTCTTTTTTCTCTATAATGTGAAAAAATGTAGAATCACATATGATAGGGAAAAATGATGTTTTGATGGAGTTCGTCATCCAGACTAGCAGATTGTGAGTTGAATGACCAGTGTCAATATGACGGCTCGATTAGTTATTATCAATATGGCTACTTCCTTGTGCTTGATTTTACCTTTTAAAACAACGTTACATAGACACATTGCAGAAAGAGATTATTCCTTCGATGATCAGGTAATTTATAACTATTTGGTACATCATTTCTTTAACTCGTTCATATATCTACAGCTTGTTAACCTTAACCAGTTATTACTTATTTTTTTTAAAGTTTAAATGCCTTCATGTCTATTTTGATTACGTTAACCGTTGTTAACAGACAAGCGAGTGTATGTGATTATAAATAATAATGTAGACTTTCCCATCCTTCTGTGCTCAAAATGATTGTTCGTATTGTCTTCAATTTATTCTTGCTGATTATCACCATTTTACCAAGAAAAGTCACAAATGCTTGTAGGCCGGGAGCTAGAAGGGTCCACCGTGCCCTCCCCCTCTCCACAAACCAATATTTTTCTGAAGCCCTGATCACGAAAATAAATGTTAGCATTGCGGAAGTTGGGACGAACATCCGGTTATGACGTCATCAAGATGGCCGCCATTGGGAAATTTACCAAAATGTGAAAACACTCATAAAATCGTTATTTTTGCACCCAATTTTAACAAATGAGGTAACAAAATGACCGCAATAGAATAACAAACAGATCTATTAACAAAACAAACTACTATGAATAGACTCATTTCAACAAAAATGAATTTATGTCGATTTTAAGGTCAAAATTTCAATTTTTCACAAAATACTTGTAATTTTTGGTCAGATCTTTACCAGAAAGCAAACAACCTCAGTCATGTTTCAGAAACGTTTTATTCACACTATTGAGCTGAATGACCACACGCTATTTGTTCATATACCATTTCTTTGTGTCTAAATATCTAACAAACACAGTTCATGTCATTCGAGGGTACAATCCAGATCACTGTGCTTTCACCCTCGGTTTGTACGCTAAACTGATCTAACACATCTGTCATCTGGTATTCAGTTTACTGCAGGTAACCCTTTTTGTAGTTACTGATAGTATCGTCATTTAATGCTGCTGTTTCTATGAGCGATTGTAACACATCATCCAACTTCATCATCGCGTCTGCTGGGATGAACGAGAACAGTTCCTTCTAATCTTGTTGAGCCTTGTATTGTTCCAATAGCAACCTTTCCAAGCACTCAAGTATGGTCTTATGGCAGCGCATCGCCCTGTCATAGTGCTTTCTGGATATCACACCTTGCAATGAACCTGAGGCAATTAGCTCTGCTTCAAGTAAGATGTCAGACAAACCAGAGCAAACCATCTTCTTCCCCACCACCATCAGATAAGCACACACGAGGTGGAAGGTACCAATCAATTCAATGTGCTTCTCATACCCTTGAGGGTTGTTCCAAAGCAATGGATACGCCTTCATGCAGACTCCCAGGTCGAAGGTTGTTATAACATACGGCTGGTTTACTTTATGTGTGGCCTCTTCAGCTTATCTCTTTTTTGCATTCTTGCACGGTCTTATAATCGGTGATGGGTTGGGTGATGACTGGGTAATAGTCAATGGTGGTGAGATTTGTTGCTTGGATACCAGTTACGTATGGGAAGCCTGACCAACCAGGTACGTCCTGTGAGGCTGTGCGCATCATGAGAATGAGAACCCCGACAAAATTGCGTCTCGTGGCGCGTTTTAGGGTTTCCTCGCCTCCAGGGCATGTCAACTGTTGGATTGTGAGGGACGGACTCTTTCGTTGTGTCAAATAGCATTCAGCAAGATTCCCAACTTGATCTGTTCTCAGAGAGCGCGCTCCACTTCTGCTGACGGTCGGGATTTCAGGACGAGTTACCCCCTGTTGCTCTCGGTTTCCTCCGATGTCCTGCATCATAATACCATGAGCAGTGTGAATAAACCCCATGCCTGTCAGATCGTTCAAGAGCTGATCAAGGAGGTCAAATCCTGAATGGAACACCGATGGAGCATCAAGATCACAAACAATTTGGGTGGGCAGAAAACTTTATGTTTCTTCTACAATCAGAGCAATAGCTGTCTCAAGTTCAAGAGAGAAGGAGTAACTATCTGAGTGTCTCATTCTGTTCAATAAGGTGATCAGTTGTTTATTTCTGAACAGATGTCGCATTGTCATACAGATAAGCACATGCTTTGGTAATTTCCATTCTCCATTGGTAGCGGCACTGGATATGTCTTGGCCAAAGTGCCACCCTGTTGGCTGGTGACGTGTCAGCAGTTGGTGTCCCAGTGATCACAGAACTTAAGTACTTCTTCAGCTGCAGTGGGTGTATCTCCTCACTGTTGTTGGTGGCCATTTCAGTTTTGCCGATTGTTCAAAACTACTCAGAATCAATTGGTATAGGTGGATGGCGGCATTCTTAATAATGTCAGTGGAACCTAGTGCATATGCACTCTTGACAGCACTATTAACATCAATGTCCGAGCTGTATACAATGCATGGTGTAAACTTTGTCTGCTTATCAAGTTGGCAGAATGATAATTTCCCACAATAGTTGACATCCTTCGCCAGTTTGACCCTCAGTTTCTCACTGCGGTAGTTAGGGTTGGCGAACTCCGTCTCTTGCAGGCCCGAAATATAGACCTGAACAAACTCACAAATTGTGACAAACTTTTTGTCACATATCACATCTTTGTTAATCTTATCACACATACACTGATACGCTGTCCTATGTGCCAGTTCAAGCTTTCCCTGCTCTGTCCTCTTCTCACCATCAGTGCGTCTCCATTGCTTTGGGTTTGTAATGTATTTGGCTCTACAGCTCTTGTGAAATTGCACCTCGCATGAAAACAAATCATGTCCTCTAATTCTAGTCAAGAGTTGTTCATCGGATTTCTGCTCTGCTACTTCTAGAACTCTTCCCCAACCACCAAACTCAAACTAAGAAGTTCCTTTACTTGTCCAGTTAACCTTCATCTTGATTTTTTGCGAACTTCGGAGTTACAGAATATAATATTGGGCTTGATGATAGTGGTATCACTGTCCTTTGAAGATCGCCGAATTGTTCTAGATGAACATGTTGCTTCTGGCGTGTCTGGAGGAACCTCAAAGTGATCAAGATCAAAGGTGAACCTCTGATAACATTCACGATGATATCCATCGGAGTCTGTATATGTTTCGGGAATAAGGTCGCACACCTGCTGCATTCTATGTATGGAACCGACTGGTTGGCAAATTCTTCTTTTATCTTGTCCAATGTTTTGTTACCATCTTTCATGTTCACAAATAACTGCAGTTGACCACTTTTTCATCCTTGAATATGGATGACACATCTTGTTTTCATATCAGACGTTGATGCTTTACAATTTTCACCACGCCTTCTCTTTGACGGAGGGCCATCATCTTTTGGGGGATCCTGGGTATGAGAGGAATATTGCATCACTGTCCTTGTATGTATTGAAACCAATCACTATATTCTTGATCTGTAACATACAAAAAATGCTATCCTACACTTGCTTTTGACTTTGTGTTAAGTCGTTTTGGCATACATGTTCCAATCCCATTTATATGGTATTTAGCTTTACAAACTTGTCGCTTTTGAGCATCTCTGAGGAGAAATTAGTTTTCGAAATGTGTCACATAGTGTGCACCAAAATTTGGGTATCTTATATCATATTATATCCAAATGAAACAAGAAAGCTAAGACTGTATTTCTTGTGTTATATGATGGCGTCCGTCTTCATGAAGTTGTGATTGACTGCTCCTGGAAATTGACATGAATCTGTGCATGTAAGAATTTTGACAAAAAAAATGATGACAATTAATTTGTGAAAATGTTAAATTTTGACCTCAAAATCGATATAAATTCATTTTTTAAAAATAAATCTTTATAGTAGCTTGTTTTGTTGCTAGATATGTTTTTGGTCATTTTGATACCTCTTTTGTTTAATTTGATCGAAAAATAACGATTTTAAGAGTTTTTTCACATTTTGGGTAAATTTGACTATGGTTGCCATCTAGATGACTTCATAACCGGAATTCGTCCCACCTTACGCAATGTTGACATTGATTTTCGTGATCAGGGCGTCTTCGGGCTTCAGAAAAATATTGGTTCGGAGATTTGTGGGGAGGGGGGCACGGTGGACCCTTCTAGCTCCTGGACTATTGTTATTTACTGTTTCAGATGCGTTGCCCGCCTGTTGCCGTGTCAAAAGTTTTCAAGACAGGTGTCTTGTTACGTGTTCCGGGTGTCGTCTGCGGGATATACCACAGGATTTGCCAGTCAATATGACAGAGTTGAATTTACCTAACAACAATTTAGTTAGACTACACCGGTATTCCTTTCCAAAGTTACCTCTACTAAACACACTGAATCTTCAGTCAAATCATCTCGTACGAATTTCGTCTGGAGCATTCGACAACACTTCGAACATACAAAGCCTGAATCTCGCAGACAACAATCTTGACCATCTATCCATTGATCCGAAAAGTTTCGAATCTCTGAAAAAGCTTAATTCGTTAAAGATTCAGAACAATTATTTCCATTTGAAGAAAATATATCCTGTGCGTGCTTTATCAAACGTTCCGCAACTTTCGGATCTTTTCATGGATATTTTTGAAGGGTTCGTCTTCGGAGAGGAGTTTGCAAACTTAAGTATGCTGAACAAACTAGATTTGTCATTTAGAGGGAAAGATAGTGTATCTTTTCTGAATACATCGTTTCTTAGCTTCAAGCAATCAAACATAACAGAATTATTTATACTGGCATACTTCAGAAAGATTGAGAACAATTTCCTGTTTCCATTTAGAGATCTCGTTTCGTTAAAACTGGTCTCAGTTAGAAGTTTCATCACTGTTAGAGAAATTCTGAAAGGACTCCACGGAGTACGAGCGAAAGTAATGGATTCACTTGTAATAACAGGTTTTCGACACAAATTTACGAAAGGTTTAAATCTGGTGGAGACAGATATTCATTATCTGGCAACTTTATGCGTCAAAAAACTAAAACTGAATAATAATGGCATTGCCCTTATAAGTACAAAAGCGCTGACATCCTGGACTAGTAAGACTTGCATTGAGGAATTGGATGTTTCAGAAAATAACTTCTTTAACCCACAGGGAATTTATATATTGGCTCTTTTTACTTCATTAACTCATCTCGAATGTGCATACCTGCGCGATATTCCGTTTGTTAAGCGAAGTGTTTTGACAGCCATGGAAATGATACTTTTTATTCCGGAAAATTTGATATATGTAAACTTCACACATAGTAGAATAGGTGGAAAGTTGCCTAATATTACAGTTGCCAGAAATAACAATCTTCAAGTATTGGATGTAAGTTATTCAGGTAAAATAATGAGATGTTCACATGGAATTATCAAAGGCCTTGTCCACTTGAAAGAGCTAGACATGTCCGGCATTGACTGTTCATTGCCAAATCCGAATATGTTCGTTGAATATTCCAATTTATCGAGACTCACAGCAAAGCAATGTAATTTTGGAAACGCCCTGGCTACAAACACGACTTCGTTATTCAAGGGACTGAATAACCTTTCTGTAGTCGATATTTCATCAAACAATCTTGTAAGCTTAAGCATTGACCTGTTTGCAGATCAGAAAGACTCTCTTAAATATTTGATTCTTGCAAAGAATCATTTTAATCACATTCCTTCACTAACGATAAGCCATTTTAGTGCGTTGGAGAGAATAGACCTCAGTTCTAACCTCATATCAACATTAAGTAAATCAGAATATTCTCTACTTGATGACTTTAAATCTAAATCGAATAACTTTAAAATTGTGTTGTATGGGAATCCTCTGGTGTGTAGTTGTGAGCAATTGGATCTCTTGTCATGGATAGAATCAACAGAGATTATTTACAAAAAGGAAGAACTTACATGTTCTACTCCAGCGGGGAGTCAAACTAGTATTGTCGAATTCATGGAAGATTTTGATCAGTTCAAGGACAGTTGTGTTTCCCAAGTCTGGTTGGTCATTTCAATAATACTCATTCTTGTTTGTTTCGTCTTTGGTGTCCTTGCACGAGAGGCATGGGGGAGAAGTGTGTGGCTACGATCCACCTGCCGTCAGCCGTTCGAAAATTTGACATACAAATATGACATTTTTATATCTTCTTGTAGTGAAGATTCTAGCTGGGTAGCAAAAACATTTATCCCATGGTTAGATTCCACGGGCATTGAATATTGCTTTGAAGATAAAAGTTTTAAGCCTGGTTATGACCTAGCGGATAACATTATGGACGCCATAGATAATTCACGGCAAACTGTATTTGTCGTAAGTTATACTTTTTTGGAACGTGAATGGTCAACATTTACATTAAAATTGACCAGTGTTTATTCATTTCGTGATTCCAGAGAAGGTATGAATATAATCATCCTATTAAATGATATAGAAAAAGGTGAGTTTCCAAAACTCATAAGGAGAAACTGGCACATAATTCGTCCTTTAAGATGGCCAAGCGACAATAATCCTGGAAAGGCTCTCGCAGCCCAGGAAGTTTTTTGGGAAAAACTATTGAAACGTTTTCAGTCGGGAAAAGGACACGTATCAACATCAGTTACTGAATCCATCTTGTAATTAAGGAGTTGGAACTAACAAGTGTTTATTCATTTTGTGATGGACGAGAGAATATCATTATCCTGTTGAATGATATAGAAAGAAGTGAGGATAAAGTTGGATTTGGTTCGTCCTGCATTTTGGCCAGACGAAACATCAACACAGACAAAACTGTTCAAACGTATCAAATGGGCAAAGAACCAACATGTGACAGAGCCTACTATGGAGTTCAGCATATAAAATAATCAGTATAAAAACTTATTTGACACGATGCATGCTGTTGTGTTACATAATAGTAGATCACAACCAAGTTAGACGTGGACCACCTCCAAATTTAGCGATGAGGAGATATAGAAACTTCTATATCAAGGTCCTCTGGAAAACTACGATTGCAATCACTTTGGCGAAAGTTTGTCACATTTTAGTGACCTAGAGTAATTATTATTTCTTCTGATAATGTATACATACTATCGAAGTTTATATTATCAAAAACAAAGAATGAACGGTATCTGCATAATAACTTGTATGTATACTTCTGTATGGTATGTTTTAGTTAGTTTTGAAAAATCATTTTCCAGTTACATATGATAATCTGTACCCACTCATCTCAGCTATGATCCGTCACGTTGTCCTTCTCTTGAACTGATCACACCTAATTCTCAGCTATGATCCGTCACGTTTTACTTCACCTAGACTAGTTACACCTGTCCTCAGCTATGATCCGTCACGTTGTCCTTCTCTTGGACAGATCACACCTAATTCTCAGCTATGATCCGTCACGTTTTACTTCACCTAGACTAGTTACACCTGTCCTCAGCTAGGATCCGTCACGGTTTACTTCACCTAGACTAGTTACACCTGTCCTCAGGTGTGATCCGTCATGTTTTACTTCACCTAGACCGGTTACACCTGTCCTCAGCTATGATCCGTCACGTTTTACTTCACCTAGACTAGTTACACCTGTCCTCAGCTATGATCCGTCACGTTTTACTTTACCTAGACTAGTTACACCTGTCCTCAGGTATGATCTGTCACGTTTTACTTCACCTAAACTAGTTACACCTGTCCTCAGCTATGATCCGCCACGGTTTACTTCACCTAAACTAGTTACACCTATCCTCAGCTATGATCCGTCACGGTTTACTTCACCTAGACAGGTTACACCTGTCCTCAGCTATGATCCGTCACGGTTTACTTCACCTAGACCAGTTACACCTGTCCTCAGCTATGATCCGTCACTGTTTACTTCACCTAGACTAGTTACACCTGTCCTCAGCTATGATCCGTCACGGTTTACTTCAACTAGACTAGTTACACCTGTCCTCAGGTATGATCCGTCACGGTTTACTTCACCTAAACTAGTTACACCTGTCCTCAGGTATGATCAGTCACGGTTTACTTCACCTAAACCGATTACACCTATCCTAAGGTATGAACACTAATAGGTTGGGTTATGTTTTTGTCAAAAGAATGTTCAAGTATAACTTCTTTGCAGAAATCATGAAATAACTTCCTTAGTCCAGTCATAACCAGAGCTGACCTGATCTAAGTTCCGTATCTTTACTGCGGATCAACGATAATTGAACTTCAGTTTTCTACGCTTTCATATAGTATTTTATAATAAAGTTTTGACATTGGTATAGCGTACTGTCAAATGCACTCTTCATATTCGTTATCATTTTATCTTCGTTGGCTAATTTAATAACTATCTGTTATAAATCAGTTTCGTGGAAGAAAACAACCTTAAGAGCGGATGGCTTGTGTATCAGAATTGTGCTGATCAAAGATGTAGAGAATTACTAAATTCAAGCAAATTGCAGCTTCAGTTCTAGTGATACTTGTGTAATACTCAACAGGAAACTGTATGTAGATATATGTATCTACAGTTTAACTTGATATAAACGATGCTCTTTAGTAGTCTAATTTGGGAATTAATCTCAGACTGGACAGAGTTATCTCCCTTCCATCCTTTATAAGCGCTACCTCCCTACATCCATTATATGGATGTATCTTGTTACGGTAATATGACTTTTTACGTTTCATTTGGAGTGAACATAGTAAGATTTAGTGGGCCTATTAAAATCCATCTTATAGGTGAAAAATACGAAACGAAAAGGTAGGACTGTAAAATTTATCATTCCCATAATTGAGACTTTTCATTGTTGGTTTATACAGATTATGAAAAATGTGTGAATATATTTAAGTACCTGAAGTCAGGTGCAGGCTGACCAGACGTATGCTTCAAGCTGGTTTTCACGTATAGACAAATTTCTCTCATTTATGTATGTCCACTTGTTTAAGTGTATATAGTACAACAGAAATATGTAACGAATGTTCTAACAATTTGTATATTTCCTTTGAGTGATTGCTTCACATATCACTCCCATAACAGTATCGCCTCATTTGTAAATGATACAATCATGAAAGGTGTACATGACAGGTTTACATGGTAGAACTATATCTTGACGTGGTCACTCCATAATCCAGCTTTTTCTTACTGCTTTAAAGTAAGGATAATAAGAGGACCGGTGTCAAAACGGCCAATAATGATGTCAAATCAAGGATTGATAGAAATTGAATGAGCATTTCTAATAACAAAACCAATTGTTCAGTGTTCATGAAAAAAATACTGATCTCATGTCAAATTGTTTCCATCTGAAGTGGTTAATATTTCATGATCAAACTTGAAAACAAAGTTGGTTTTGATTTTAATGCATTGTGGAGTGATCCAGGTCAATTTTCGTATCCAAACAAGTATAACTGGTAAACATCTCAGTTGTACATTTCCTGCTTTGAGCCTCTTACAACATATACGAGTCATGGGAGGACAAAACAGCTGTATGATGCAGTTTTTTTTCTTCAATCCTTTGAGGTGAAATAATATCTGTTATTTATCCGTTAATTTAATTCATCTTTTTCAGAATACAGTATCAGTTTATCATTATCACTTTTTTCCATCTTGTGTTGTTACCATCACTACCTCTTTCAGTGAGAAGACACGATATAATATCTTAACTTAAATTCCTTTCGTTAACTTGCAAATAAAATATGTTTAAATCAATATATTTTACATATATTACATTACTAAAGAAAAAAAACACTTTTTCCTGATTACATGAAATTATGATTTAATGAATTTCATCAAGATTTATAGTTTAATGCCTTAAAGGCTGACCAAGACAGTTATGTTTGATTTTAAACACCAGCCACCAATAAATTCTGAATGCAGTTAAAAGAAATTACGAAAATTTCATCAAAGACACTCAAAATAAAAATCATATGTGAATTCAATTTCAAGTACATTATGGCATTGAAATAAACTGCTAACAAAAATTCATGTTTCATCAATCATGAAAAAAGTTAACTTTAAATTGTGCATATATGTGTATTGAAAATGCTGACTGAAACAAACCTTTTTTTTTTCATGCATTACAAGTTACAAATCAATACAACAATAATATTATTTCTATGTAGATCAGGTTTAGGACATTTATAAGTTGCTAGCAAATTGACAAACAAGGTCAAATTTTTTAAGTTAGATAATCTCAAAGGGTTTTTTTTTTTTTATAAATTTTTCGATTATTATTATATTTGGCTCAATGAATTAGAAACAAAACAACCAACGATAAAATTTCACAATCACACACATATCAGAACATGTAATAAAAATCCAATATCAATAAATGAATAACATAATAAACAAGAGTCACTATGATATATATATAATATTAAAATAAATATCCATTATGACCATATACATGTAGGGATGTCCAAAGCTGGAAAAGATAAATCCTTTCTATTGTAGAAATATCAGTATGTCACATGGACAGTAATATGGCACAGAAGTTGAATGTAGTATACGATTTATGTTACACTGACCAATCCTATAGTTACTGGAAAACACTCTGGAGATATACGCGATTTTATTTTTGTATTGATTCTTAGCAAATAACATCACAGTTAAAACCCTTGTCTATCTTATAGTACACTACACTTACCTTCATGTAATAGAACTCATCTGAACTTTGATACACAATCAATGTTACAAAAATTAAAGATCATTCAATCAATGACAACAAAATTGTCCTGCTTTCTTTATGATTAATTATTCATAATTTCTTTAAAAAATTTTTAACATGAAATTTAGATATATTGAATATTTGACCAATTTTAAAGTGAATCCTTTTCTTTCACAGAATAAAAATATTGTAATGGAAAGTTATTTTTCTTTTTCCTCCACTTCGTCAATGTTGTAAATATCATTTCGCTTTTGGAAACCAATGGGAATCTGGGCACGCACTTCATCAACATATCTGGGGTCTACATCACTGTATATGACTCCCTCCTCATGTTCCATGGTTGAAATGACTGACCCCCAGGGATTTATCAACGAACTGTGTCCCCAAGCATGGTAAGTAGCAGTTTCATCCCTAGCAGGTGAAACTGTGGCCACATACAGTTGATTGTCAAGGGCACGCCCTCTCTGCAGCAGCTCCCAATGGGCAGGGCCTGTTGTCATATTGAAGGCTCCTGCAATGCAAAATGAAATATTTCATCTTTATAACTACTGTACTGAAGTATAAGGATAAAATTGATGAAGCAAATAAGATAGGGAAAGTCATACCTGGATACACAATAAGCTTGCATCCTCTTTTGCTATAGATTTGTGCCATTTCAGCAAATCTGATATCATAACAAATGCCCACTCCAATTTTACAATATGGTGTTTCAAATGTTGTAAAATTATTTCCAGGACTAAGCGTTTCGGATTCTTGGAACTTGATTTTACCCGGAATGTCAATATCAAACAAATGCATCTTTCTATGTTTAGCTATCATTGTGCCTTCTGGATTGTAAACAGTACAAGTGTTGTACAATTTGTCACCATCCTTCTCTGGTATGGATCCGCCTATCAAGAAAATCCCATTATCTTTAGCAGCTTTTGATAAAACTTGTGTCGAATCGCCTGGGATTTTTTCAGCATATTCTGGAAAATACGACGTTCCATATGGTGAGTTGAAGCATTCTGGAAGTGCAATGACCTGTGCTCCTTTCGACGCTGCCTCTTTTACTAGTTTAGCAACTTTAACAAGATTGTCAGCTTTCGTTGTAGAGACAGCTAATTGTACCAGGGCTAAACGGAAAGTAGCCATTGCTGATGTGAGATTTTAGAGTAGTCTCCCTTAAGCAGATTTTCGGAATTGCTCGTGTTTCTTCTTTATCGGCTACGTGTCATCCGAAAACTACGAGTGGAAGGGGAGGAAGATGGCGGCTGCTACTGCTAGAGTTGACGAAATGGTGAAAGATTACTTGCTGTATCGAGGTTTTACCAACGCACACAGATCGTTCGAAGCGGAACTGAAAAATGAAAAAGAGAGAGGTTTAAGGGTAATTATATGCAATGACATTGATTGATTAAAGAATAAGCAACGAGTCTTTCTAGTTTTATGGTTAGTAGTGCGAGATAAAGCTTTTCGAATAAGAAAATAATTGGTACATTAGCAGAATACTTTGTAAAAGCTGTTTTTTCATGCAATTCTGTGTTAGTGACTGAAGGGCTTACTCTCTGTATTAATTTGGCCTCTTTTGCATATGTTTCAACGTGTCGCGTGTTCCATCTTTTATACAATCTCCAATCAATTTGGACACATATTCTTAATGCAATGTGACCCTGGTAATGCCCATGACTGTTATCAGACTTGTTTTTATATTCAACATAGGTACTTTTAGTTAGAATTTTGTGTAGTAGGAAGGAGTGATGAATAACACCTGTCACCGTAGGGGTTCGAACTAGCGACCATTTAGTCTCTAGCTGGAACTGTCCCATTCGATGAAGGGAAATTCCCACTCCCTAAGATCCAAGGACGGTAAGATGACATATACTCTCAAGTTCTACACAACTTCCTCCTTTATAAAGTCTTCAACCCCTAAAACAACAACCCATATTGAACATCAACACAGAATCATCTTAACTATAATCTTAACAATAGGTGATAGCTTCTACCCTAGAAGTAGTCAGTGACATCAAAGCTTCTACACTTGAAGTAGTCAGTGACATCAAAGCTTCTACCCTTAAAGTAGTCATTGACATCAAAGCTTCTACCCTTAAAGTAGTCAGTGACATCAAAGCTTCTACCCTTGATGTAGTCAGTGACACCAAAGCTTCTACCCTTGAAGTAGTTGGTGACACCAAAACTTTTACCCTTGAAGTAGTCAGTGACACCAAACTTCTACCCTTGAAGTAGTTGGTGACACCAAAGCTTCTACCCTTGAAGTAGTCGGTGATACCAAAGCTTCTACCCTTGAAGTAGTCAGTGACACCAAACTCTTACCCATGAAGTAGTGGATGACATCTCATGATGACTTATTCTAATACCATTGATCTGGCGTCCTGCATTGTGTATTCTGCATCATGCATCGATAAACAATTTAACACTTTCGACTTCTTCTCAAAAACCCTGGATTCAATTTTAATGAAATTTTGCAGAAACCTTCCCTGGCCTAAGATGAATCTAAATTGTAAATTATACAGTCCCCATGCTCTAGAGGCCTGACCTGCAGAGTCAAAAGGGATCAGATTGACTCAGATTTCAAAAACAACCTTCTCAAGACTCATATATGGTAAAATCAAAAACTCTTCATGATTGGAAGCATCTTTAAGTGCTTTACCAAAATTGTGAATTTCATGGCCTCAGGGTCTCCCATATCCCCGTGGGGAGGGGATAAAGTTTACTATATTTTACATTAGAAAACTAGAATGTTGAGCATAATTTGTTTGATTTCCATTGGAAGTATTTCAAACTTGGTTAGAATTATAAGTGAAGGATGACAGCTTGATGGTATGTCCATTTTGATCCTGACAGACCCCCTGGGGGCTGATGGGTGGGACCAAAAGGGGTCAAATCTTTTTTTCAAGACCCAGATATGGTAGAATCAAATGCTCTTCATGACTGGAAGCATCTTAAGGTGCTTTAACTACCAAAATGAGTCTCACATTTCTTTCTGGGGAGGAATTTTTCTTTGGACTTTACTGTAATTTTCATTGAAAAATAGTATTTTTTAGCAAAACATTGGTTATTTCCCACTGAAAAGAACTATAAGAATGATCAGTATAGGATGACAGTTATGTTTCACGACACTTGATAACTATTCTTTAACCTTTATATTCAATATTGCTTATCTGAGGTGACCATCAAGGCTGCTAGCCTCTTGTTTGGATATTGTTGCTATCAATTTTTAACCAATTACTTTAAAGGTTAGGTTTTCAAACCATGACATGGAGTTGTGTTTTTCTGAGAATCAGTTTTTGATTCCACAATTTTTGAAAGAAGTATCACATTTTCTTTTTTCTGCATTTGAATCTTGTCAAGAGAACTCTTCAAATTACTGACCATTTTCTTTCAATCTGTATGCTTTATCACAATTACACGATTATTGTTTCATTTCCACATTTGTATTCATAATTGTACAATCATACAATATGGGTAAGGCGTATGATATTCTGCCCACAATACTCTTTTTTATCTAAGATCCTGTCTTTCAGTTTTCAGTCACAATAACATGAAATTGTGCTGTATGGATGACATTTTGATAAAACAATTATTGTTTATCTGTTTCTTACAAATTTGCATTCATTTCACTCAATTTAGTTTCTCTTAGACATGAAACAGAACATATATGTACCCATATTGTAAAGTTTCTTTATTTCGACTTAAGGCTGACAAGTTGGTGGAACAGCTGTACACCTATATAGTAACCTATGACCTTGCATCATTACGTGAGTTTTGGAACAACCTGAATCATCGTTTGTTCTCACGACTAGAGCAACGATACATGCCAAGTGTTCGCAAACTGGAAGTCGGCCTCCTAAAGTTCTACATTGTGTATGCATCACAGAACAACCATCAGGACAAAGTTAGAGAATTCTTCGAAAAAATGACACCAGAAATTCAAAATCAGTCAGAATTTAAAGATTGGTTTTGTAAGTAAGATTATGTAGATATTATGGTTTCTTTTTTATTGTACTGATTTATAAGGACAGTCTTACCAATAATAATATCATATACTTATTTTAGGAATAAGCCCATACCTGGAAACAAGCCTACTCATATTTGTTATTGCTCAGTAAAATTATAATTATCTTGCAATGACATAAACATAATATATATACATGTGTGTTTCATGTTTCACTTCTATACAGACTTTGTCCTTCCTACCTGGAACATAGTATGAATAAATTTAAACAACCACTAATAGAGACAGGATCCATTCTCTGTATGATATTGGTAAAATAATTTTTTTTAGCAAAATGAAATGTTCTGCTTTATCTGTTTTCTCTTAAAATTTTGTATTTGGGCAAGTAAATTTTTATAATTGCTATAATTTACGTAATATTGAAGGTTAAAATGATGTGAACTAAAGACATTCGCTCAATACAAGAATAAATTGTCTTCACTAAGAATGAAATTTATAGATCAATCAAATGCCAACTAGGTAAAAGTCATTCATTTTAATTGTTTTCTTGTAGCATTTCCATTCATCAAATCTCCAGAGGAAAATTCAAGCTTTGTGATGTACTTCACAAAGCCCTGGCAGGACACATATTTCTTGTCCCTTCACAACTTCCTCAGTGTCATCATACAGGCTATGCATATCCTTTTGTTTCATGTGCAAGAAACTTTCCATTTAAGATAAGGGATGTTGAAATCATATCTTTTAGAAATTTTGAAAAGTTTTAGAAAATACAATGTGTTCGTTTGTTTGTTAGTATTATACCATACATGTAGATTATCTCATTGGTGTGTAATAAAGTAATCTTTGTGTTTCTCAGACTTCTTACAACTTTTTGTATGTTAACATTTATTGGAATTGTAGCTGCATGATGTCAATGCACAAACTGATCCAAACAAAAATTTATATCCTTGACATTTTGGACCTGCTCCCACCCTTCTGAACTTTGATATTGAGCACAAAAGGATGAAGAATTTACAAGAGGAGAATGAAATGTTGAAACAAAAGGTGAGAGTAAAGAATAGTTGTTTGCTTCAGTTTTAATATCAGTATTTTTACTAAATCGCCTCTATCTACCAAGTAGTACTGTCATATAATGCGTGTCATTCCAAGACTACCTGAAGTTCAATACATTTCAATGAGTCTCAAAATGATGCTGGTGAATTTTGCTAGAGTCCACAAAGAAAGTGTAGATATGTATCTCTGAGTCCAGTAACAGACACCTGGGTCCAGAAATACACTCTCCTTGGTCTACCCAGAGGCTTTCCTTGGTCTAGGAAAAGGTCAAAATCTATCATCAAAATGATGGAGGTTATGATTGCCAGCAAAAACCCCTAGTTAAAAAATGCTCATCTAGGTTTAGACTCTCCTAATGTATGTCTGAATCAAACACTGCTGTTGTGAAGGAATAGCTAATTCTATAGCATGGCTGAAATGATTACACCACCAAGCTCTGCTGCCTTTTAATACTAATATGTTTACACCTTTCAATAAATAGAAAAACCCGTCAGTTTTTTTAGCTCACCTGGCTGGAAGGGGCAGGTGAGCTTATGCCGTAGTGTAGTGTCCATCATCTGTCATCAGTAGTTCATCAACCGTCATCCATTGTCAACATTTTTCTTTAAAAAACTTCTTCTCAATAACCAATGGACCAAATGTTTTGATATTTGGTTGGTATATTCCTAGGCAGAAGCCCAACAAAGTTTGTGAAATGACCTTGACCTATATTAAAGGTCACAGGTGTCAGATTTCTTAAAATGACTCAATTTCTCAAATGACTTCTTCTCATGAACTGACAAAGCTCAGAAGCATGATATTGGCTTGTATGTTCCTAGGATGAAGCTTGACAAAGTTTGCAAAGAGAAATGACCTTGAAATGTATTCAAGGTCACTGGGGTTCAAATTTTAAGGTATATAGATATAGATATATACCAGGTGAGCGCTGCAGGCCCATTGGGCCTCTTGTTTAATATTTTCTCGCATATTAGTATTAAAACACATGCCTTCAGACAAGGATAAAATAAAATCAAATCATGAAAGATACTGAAAACCATTGTACTTTTTGTAATTTCTGTGAAAAATACAGCTTGCTTAAACTGTCAAGCAAATTATATATCATTGTGCTGTAATGCTCTCGAATTTGATTAATATTTTACATGTTGAACCCCTTGGGATTTTCATAGGACCACAAAAATTAAAGCCTTCAAAAATATTCTTTACTGCATAGTCAAAGTTACAAGAAATTAAAACAGATAGTCAATATTTCTTCTTGATTTATTCAGCTTCATGGCATTACCACCAAACCAGAGACAGACAGCCAAATGAGAAATCAACAGCCAAACGAGCCCATTAGCAGGGGAGCTAACTCTATGGATCTTATCTATGACTTTTCAGCATTGGCAGAGTATGTATGACTAGGATAATCTGCATTTAAGAATTCTCTCACTTTGCAAATACAATCTCATAGCCTGTATTTATCTTACAACAAACTCATGCCTTGTAATAAGCCCACCTGCATCTATTGCAGTTTCCCTAGATATTCAAGCAAATGCCATATCATTGTGCTGTAGTGAGCCCAGTTACGCAACGTAATCCAGATAGTATGTGTTGTCCCTGAGGCTTGATGCAGGATATTAAAATCTTTTCAGCTCTTCCAAGTAAATGTTACCTAATGTTGGTATATAGTCCCCTTGAACTGTAGTTTACTGGATGAAACTTTCCTTTCCAGTTACCGATAGTTCTTCTCAGTTCAGTAATTCTTAATGAATACCCTCATAATCAAATTGACTATGGAGGTTATCAGCATCGTCAAATACAAAGTGGTACAATGTATTAATGATACTGGCATTCAGTCCAAAGGCTTGAAGGACAATGAAACATGTTAATTTATTGAATTTTACAACGTTTACAGTGAAAGTTTTGAACAAGAAAAGCAACAGAAGACGTCACGGAGATTCCCAATCAATTTCCCTGCACCCACACTCCTTGGGAAAAAAACAACCAATAGAACAGGGGGAAACAGTAATTCCAAGAAAACTGACCAATCAGCATCAAAGGCAGCAACTAAACCTGTTGCCAAGGCAAAAGTCTCAAGCAAACCTGTTAACATACAGACCAAGCAGTTAAAGCCTTCTCAAGTCCAGATAGGGGCAACCCCTCCCCAAGGACCATCCAGAGGGGGAAATGGGGGCTCTGATCAAATAAAACATGAAGGGGACCATGGTGACCATACTGTGCAAAGGTCGCCAGCCAAGAGCACAACGGTTGGTACCGAGGACTCTCACGGAAGCCCTGGCTTGTCCAGCAGTGTACAACAGCGACGGAAAGCCATCGACCAACATATAAATGAAAGGGGACAACTACTGGGTAACTCTGACACAAAAACTGAGAAGGTACGAAGAATTATTTCTGCGTGTGATAATACTGTTATAATGTCAAGCTCTGCAACACATGTTAAGGAGTTTAACATTACAAGAAAATAGCATGTAATGAAGGTGATTTACAGTGAGTTATAAATAGCCTCATCAGTAACATATAGTCATGTCTTATTCTGATTATATAGCCTTATCAGTAACATATAGTCATGTCTTATTCTGATTATATAGCCTTATCAGTAACATATAGTCATGTCTTATTCTGATTATATAGCCTTATCAGTAACATATAGTCATGTCTTATTCTGATTATATAGTCTTATCAGTAACATATAGTCATGTCTTATTCTGATTATATAGCCTTATCAGTAACATATAGTCATGTCTTATTCTGATTATATAGTCTTATCAGTAACATATAGTCATGTCTTATTCTGATTATATAGTCTTATCAGTAACATATAGTCATGTCTTATTCTGATTATATAGTCTTATCAGTAACATATAGTCATGTCTTATTCTGATTATATAGTCTTATCAGTAACATATAGTCATGTCTTATTCTGATTATATAGCCTTATCAGTAACATATAGTCATGTCTTATTCTGATTATATAGCCTTATCAGTAACATATAGTCATGTCTTATTCTGATTATATAGCCTTATCAGTAACATATAGTCATGTCTTATTCTGATTATATAGCCTTATCAGTAACATATAGTCATGTCTTATTCGGATTATATAGCCTTATCAGTAACATATAGTCATGTCTTATTCTGATTATATAGCCTTATCAGTAACATATAGTCATGTCTTATTCTGATTATATAGTCTTATCAGTAACATATAGTCATGTCTTATTCTGATTATATAGTCTTATCAGTAACATATAGTCATGTCTTATTCTGATTATATAGTCTTATCAGTAACATATAGTCATGTCTTATTCTGATTATATAGTCTTATCAGTAACATATAGTCATGTCTTATTCTGATTATATAGTCTTATCAGTAACATATAGTCATGTCTTATTCTGATTATATAGCCTTATCAGTAACATATAGTCATGTCTTATTCTGATTATATAGTCTTATCAGTAACATATAGTCATGTCTTATTCTGATTATATAGTCTTATCAGTAACATATAGTCATGTCTTATTCTGATTATATAGCCTTATCAGTAACATATAGTCATGTCTTATTCTGATTATATAGTCTTATCAGTAACATATAGTCATGTCTTATTCTGATTATATAGTCTTATCAGTAACATATAGTCATGTCTTATTCTGATTAATCAGATTCATGTACTTAATTGTCATTTTACTTCTAACATCTATCATTTTCTATTGTGAATCATCATTTAACTTTATTAAATTTAAAAATTTTGACAGCTTTACAAGATAGTGCAAATGTTTTTACTTTCAAGGATAGGATAAATTCTCCATAAAAAGTATTATTTTAAAGATAAGATTCATTGGCAGTTCCTGATTTGTTGTTTAAAAAGACATACTGTTTGCTTTAAATTCTAGCAAAACCACAAAATATTTGAACCATTAAAATACACCAGATGTACACCAGACCTGAAAGTGAAAAATGTTTTACAAATTTATCATAAGCAACATTGAAATATTTCTGATATTTTATCTACTGTATTTAACTAGTTTTGGTGAATTCTTTAGTAGATATATTCCTTTGTTTATTGTGAATTAATTTTCCATTATGGATGCTTTGAGCAATGATAATGATGATCTACCACAAAATATAGACTTAACATTGGTCTATACAAACCTGTAAATGATTACAGAGGGAGGGTGATGTTAGCCCTGTAAAGCGAGGATTGATAGGGAAAGCCACACCCCCAGTTACCAGAGCCCAATCAGCAGGAACTTCAGACACACCCACTGTTACAACTCACCACACAACTAGATCTGTGAGTGTTGTAGAGTCATCCAGGACTTCCAGTCACACTAAACAAGTGGAGATGGTCCAGTTTCCCACCGAATCTAAGGCTCCTGCACCAGGTATCAGACAAAGATCAGATAATCTATTTATAAGTATCCCTGTACTAGTTATGTAATTTGATACTAATTTTTAAAATGTTACCTTATACAGCAATAATGTTTTCTGAACTTGTTTTTCACTATCTTTTAATCAATTAGTTGTAACTTTCAGGTGCTGAATCCTGTCCGTTTCTGCCACTGAGTCAAGTAAGTCACAATACAGACCTAACACTAATACAGTGAAGCCTTAATGTGTAGTGTGATTGTATCATTACTGCATTCAGACATAACCATGTGATAGATACCACAATCAGCTCATGTATCAAAATTGATTTATTTGAAGCAAACTTAAATTAATTTATGACAATTTTGGAGTCATTTTTTTTGGCTTGAATTGACGGGAAGAATAAAGACATCTTATACTTTGTTGAAACTGAGTTGTGTAGCATTACTGTAGAATATATAAGATATGTGCAATCAATATTTGATAGTCTTCATTACTTGATGTAGAATTGTATGCGAAAAGAGGTTTAACTTAAAGAGTTACACCATATCTTTAATAATATTCTCTTGATGTATGTCCTGTTTTGTAGGAGGAATATTGTGAGCACAGAGCTGCATTGTCCTATTGTCGATTCTCAAACACTGGTCAGTATATTGCCAGTGTGGACGTGGATGGAGTGGTCAAGTAAGTGTTGTGTCCAGTGGATTGTTTTGTTTATTATTTGCTTACGGTGAGTCTTTTAGGGTCCATGACATGTATCCATGACAACAGGTCTGGCAGGGACATGGGATTACTTTTTCTAGAAAAAAAATTTTTTTTACAATTGCTTAAATATCAAAGTGAGTCTCTTGAGGTTCAAAACTATTTGAATGAAAGATTATGTTAAAAGGATGAAGCTGATTCACCCAAGAAAAGGGACAGCTGAGATTTAAAAAAAAAGCTTCTTTTGATCTTCTTTTCAATCTTTGCCATTGTTTAGGATAATAAATACATTTTAGTATCATATGATAGCAAATAGATGTATTTGTATTTGTACCACATTGTCAAAATGTGAACATAGTCAATTTTTTGCTCAAGGTAATGAGACAAGAAACCGTACAAAGTGTGTGTATGTGTAGTAATATTGTTTTGGTCACAGTAAACTGTAGTTCTGTTATAACTATGCAATATCAAAAGAAAAGAACAGCATTGGTTAAGGCTATTCATATTCCTATTTTGTATTCCCATTTCATCTTTTTGAAAATTTGAAAGACAATAGGACATTCTTTAAATTTCTTTACAAACATGCAATGAATTTTCAAATTACATACTGCACAATTTTGTTTCGAAAGAGAATTGACAGAGACATGAATGTTATAATTATGAACCTTCAAGGTGGATAACAAAATGTTTCAATTTTTTGGTCCTGGGAGTCAGTACAAGATTACAGACTAATTATCAAAATGTGTTTAGGACATTACTTAGTGAAAAATCATGTCAGTTTATCTGTTTTAAAGAATTTGTCCTCAGATCTTTTTTTCTGATATTGTCAGATTTCATATATATTTCCTCTTATTATCATAGGGCTTGATATATGTTGTCTGCACAGGCTTTTAATAATGAAGATGTTTAGTTGGTATTTCTTCATGTGCCAATTACATCAGTTGTGTCAGTGTAGAAATAAGAAATGTCTCTTCTCAGTAATTGTCTAGAGCTAAATATTACAGAGTTTGGACATGGAGTCCCCAGCCTACCACAGCAGCCACTGTCATGTCTAAATCAGCTTTTCTATCCTTGGAATGGGCCAGCAAGTCTGACAGATGGGTATGTTTAAAGTGGTCTGCAATGAATCCAAGTCAAGGGTGTATAACCAATTCTACTCATGGACTGGCAATATATGTATTTTAAAATGTTTGCAATCCTGGAAACAAAATGAAGGCATTGAAATGCAGATGCTTGCGTTTCTGCTGTAAAACATTTTGGTTAAAGGACAGGTCTTCATACTATAAAGTAATTTATTGATGAATATGAATTACATTTTACAATAATGAGACCAGATTTTATTTTTTTTGGGCAGTTGTTACTAGGCAACAGATCTGGAAACATTAGATTGTTCGATGTTAAAGAAATGAAGTCCTTCTATGAAGCAACAGCTGATGCAAGCTACCCCAGGTAAAAAGACATAATTTATACTAACGACGACTTTCCAGTTAATCAGTTATGTAATTGTTTGAAGGGAATTCTTTTGTCTTTAAGTGAGCAAATTTCTTTTCCGTTGTTTACTGATACGTGTAACTGGTGATAAAAGCATTTCATGCCTAATGACCATCATTTCAATGACATCATTTGATGATAGTATGGTGCATGTCAGGTTTACGTCTTTTGAGTTAAAAGGTGAAAAGCGATAAATTACATGATGAATGTGATGAAAAATTCAACCATTAGTGAAAATGTTTTTGAAGTTCAACACTCCACAAAGTGGAATTAAAAATCTGACACCTTGGTTGAGATTTCTCCTTCAACAACCTAAAGGGTAATACATTCAGTAGGATTTTAAGGAGTCACAATCTTTCATGTTGATGGACTTTTTATAATGTTTGTTTTTGGGTTTGTTGTAGGGTTATAAACCTATGTGCAAGTCCTGCGGGCGGATCTTTTGTGTGTTCAGCATCTGTCAATAGAGCTCGGTCTGGATCCTCAAGTGGAGAAAGTGGCCCTTCCCCATCCATAAGCAAGGTTGGAAAGCTGACTCTGTGGGATCTACGTACCATGAAAGTCAATGTGAGTTTATTAGTCTGTAAACAGTAAAGATTTATATCAAGAAAATCTGATACACATTTTTTAGGCACCATGAAAATAAATATTTGTTTGTGACGGTACAGAATCTTTATAAAGAATTTCAAAATCCATAGGAAAAACATTCAGAAGCCTTGCTTATTCTATTCCAGTGAATCATAATCTAAATTATGTATTTATATTGTGAAACCCTATCATTTGAATAGTCCAGATTTCACAAAAATAAGTCGCAAATAGTGAAAAGAAAGTTCTATAGAAAATCACTTTCAAATTTTTTTTTATGATTTCTGATATCAATCCCTGGCGAAATGCCCTCAGGTAATATATGGCATTGGGGAAAAAGAGAGTTAATATTTTTTATTCAATAGGCAAGGTCTTTTAAATAAAACTTCAAGCCGACATGAAAAATTTGAAGCTGGAAAAGTTTTGTTTCTTTTTAATATTTAAATTCCAAACCTATGTCCTTGCAGAAACAACTGCCTATTGATCCTGGCCCTATGGCGGTCAACTGTTGTGCATTCAACCATAACGGTCAACTACTTCTGACAGGGGCTGCTGATGGTCTCATTAGAATGTATGGTGAGTTTTTCTTGTTTAATTATTGATTCATCATTTTATGACAATAATGCCATGAAAATTTAGAAGACAAATCACTTTGATCTTGCTTTCAGAAAAAGATAATCAATTATTTGTTACATGTTTATAGATTTAATTGAACAGAAAAACTGAAATCAAACAAAAGTGAAGAATGTTGAAAAAATTATTGTTGCCTATTTCACTTCGACTGCCAAAGCTGACAAAACAGTGTTATCTCCCTTTACTCATTCCTCTCTCTCTCTCTCTCTCTCTCTATATATATATATCTAAGGCAATATTTCATCCAACCAGCTTACAAGTTGTATTACATTGGTAAATGAAATCAAGGATCCAATACAACCAATAGAACTTCCTCTGCTACAAAAGAAAGAAAGGAAGGGGAAGATTTCTTTTGTAGAGTGAAGAAAAAGTTCAAGGACATTTTCTTTTCAATGTAGTGCTGTTTATTTTGTACATATAGCTTTCAAAGTTTGAAAATGAAAGACTTTGAACTTATGACATTGAATGTCTGTTTTTCATCAGAAATGATTTCTGATTTTCACATTTGTTTCCTCTTTTCTTGTTAGATTTTGAAGAAGAAACAGAAAAATCAAATTTCTTTCATATTTTGAATAAAACATAAACAAAAATTTGAGGGTGAGTTATTATTTATGCTTTTAGGATTGCACACTTTTCATTAAAGTGGTAGGAAAGAAAAATGATTGTCTTTGTTAAAGAAAATTCAGGGGAAGATAAAAAATGTGTCAATGATTTTTTTTGAGTACCATACACTGATATGTGTGTTTGACAGACATCCAGCAGTGCCGTTGTATTTCACAATGGGAGGCCCACAGTGGGGAAGTTCTGAGTCTCCAGTTCTCCAATGATGAGACTACATGTTACAGTATGGGATCAGATTCCAAGGCAAGCTAAAGATTTTCTGTGTGAATTGATCTGTGTGGCAAATTTTCAAGTAATTTTCAATCGAAGTATCTAGTCTGTCTTTTTATTTTTTTAAGAACAGGAACTACAAATATATAGTGTAACATTTTCTCAATTTAAATAGGCATATATAGTGTTCACCATGCTATCTTCTTGTGGAAATAGGAAAAATTAGCACTGCAATGGTAATGAGATTGTATCTTAGCTTCTGTGTGGCACCTTTCTCTACAGTTCCTACAATGGAGTGTTCACAAGCCAGGACTGCAGCAACAGGAATTGCCAATCCATCCTGGAGCCTCACTTCCATTTCTTGCAAGTGGACTTTGGGGAGGAAAAGAGATACCTAAGGGGAGACTATTCTCGTTTGATGGAGAGGGCCAGTATGTCTTAACCTGTGACAAAAACAAAGGCTTAATATACAAGGTATCTTAAATCTAATGCTACATATAAATACAGGACTTTACTGATGAATTTTTTTTAAATTCTGGCATGTCTTTTGAACTCATGTGAAATAAAAACAAACTAAATACATTTTGAAAGTTTAGCAGAAGCAGGTGATATCTTTTGTATATTTTTAAAGTCATCTTGACTATTTCTGTTGTCTTCTTTGTGACAACATAATGTAATCTGGACGTGTGATGCCATCATTTCATGACAACAAAGTTGTGACATCAATCTACAACTATTTGTTTCATGCCAGATTGATGAAAGTAATTGAAAAATCTTTCTTTGAATTAGGTTTTCGTATATTGCTAAAGTATATTGAACTTTCAAAGAAAGAAAATGTCATTTGATGAGACTCAGTCTAGTTATATGGAAACTTGAGTTCAAAAATGTCATGTGACTTATCAAGAAAAAAATAAGAATCAGTTTTCAGGATTTGTGTGTATATATAGTTTTCTGTAAGCATCTTTAGCATCACTATTTTGACTCTGACATATCTTATGTCTTCACTGTGACTTTAGCATCACTATTTTGACTCTGACATATCTTATGTCTTCACTGTGACTTTAGCATCACTATTTTGACTCTGACATATCTTATGTCTTCACTGTGACTTTAGCATCACTATTTTGACTCTGACATATCTTATGTCTTCACTGTGACTTTAGCATCACTATTTTGACTCTGACATATCTTATGTCTTCACTGTGACTTTAGCATCACTATTTTGACTCTGACATATCTTATGTCTTCACTGTGACATGGTCAAGTCATGATGTCATTTGTAATGCTGGTACACTTGAAATGTTACAGCATTACAACCCCAAGGTCATAGTTCTAAGCATATCTACTTTTGTCCATCATTTACAGTTTCAGTAGGAATGTGAACAAGTTCTATACCATTTTCCTGTAATATGCCCACCTATAAGCTTTGAATTCAATGCTGGTTCCCTGGGTTTTTTGTAGCACTGAAACTTATCAGTCATGTGATGAATATGTATCAACAGTTAGTCACATTGGTTAGATATTATTTTACTACAATACCTGTTATATTTTTGTTGCCTGGTTAGTGGTAATAAGTCCCAGATACAAAAAAATAGCAACAGAGAACTTCAAGTATTTAGTCTTTATAATATTTTAATAGTAAATTCAAATATGCAAAAATGTAAATAATAATAATAATGAATAAACATTTTATAAACACATTTTATAGGCAAAATATGTATTATTGCAGAAAGGCCCCTTTATATATAATGTATGTATGTGAGAAAAATTTTGTTGACTTTTTGATATCACATTTGTCTGAAAATTTTGTAAAAGTCATACTTAGTATACATTTCTATGTTTTTTCTAAGCTTTCTACTTAATTTGATGCTCTCATGGAAGTTTTAAGGTCATCTGATCTATAGATGTCATGTTTCATCATTACTGTGCACCTTGCCTAAACCTTTTTACATTTTAAACTTCTCAAGTAACAATAGTGAGAATAAGTTGAAACGGTCTGAAACTTGATATTGTCGTCATTTCCGCTATCTTGGAAAACAACTTTTACACATCTTCCACTCTTCTGTTGCTGTTGATTTGACATGATGTCGGAAAGTTGAGAATTTGAAATGGATTTTTTTTCACCTTCATGTATCAGATGTTTAGTGCAACAGAATGTTTGATATCTAGCTGCCAGATGTCAAAAATTTTCATTTGGGCCTCACCTCAGTGAGGAATCATACCCTCATATTCATTTCAAAATTCAAAATTCCAGTTTCTAAGGATAAGATAAATTCCCAATAACAGGGTCAAACCCAAATTCACCGTTTTTAAAAATATAACAGGTGATACACAGGTGCCAATATAAAACTTCATAGGTAGAAAGATCACAACAAGGAGAAGTGTAATGCATGAAAACCATCACTCTCTTTTGCATAATGTAGGAGTTATTGTCCTTTGATATTTTTCATACTTAAATTTGTCCCAATTGGGGAGCATAACTGGTCTCTGACAGCCCTTGTCATTGATCTACTCATATAAACTTGGATTCCTCAAACTCTTCAAATACCACACATTACTTGACCCATCCTTTTTATCCCCACCTCTACATGTTTATAGTATTCCTCCCTCTGTTCGTTGAACAGATGTCACGCTTGTCAAAACTTACCTGTATGGCTGCATGTTTATAATGGTACAAAGGTGAAAATATCCCTGTATAAAGTATTGGAATGTAAGGGGCTGGATTGTCGTATATTGTCCCTGTATATGTGAATGGAAGATTGTAGTAGACCTAGATTATGCCTAAAGGACTAGGACAACTATTTACTAGGTTTGTATGATATGATTAATTAATTAATATTTATAGGGATATGATTTAAATTTTTTGTGTATTGTAGGTCAATGGTGGGCTGTCCAAAACATTGGACTTGAGTGGACACAAGTCAAACTTGACCACTGTGGATTGGTCACCTGGTATAGACACGAAGGTTTGTCTCACTGGAGCTATGGATGGAAAAGTCAATATATACACTCTACTGTCACACTGAAAGGATTCTAATGGACAGTGTTAAAAACATTCTCTTGCCTCGAAACATCAGTGTGATTAGACATTGTGCAATGAGGGCAAAGGTCATCACAAAATGTCAACATCATTGGGATTCTTGTCAATGTTGCAAATACATTTAGTCAAGTGTTAAGGTCATTTTTGAAAAGACTGTTCCATATCATTTATATCATATTGGAAGACTTAATACCTTTATTTCGCCCTGTGATCTTTTACTACAAAATATTCTGAATACTTGCCATATGAAACATATCGTAATCTACAAAACACAGTTGACCATATTGTGTAAACCACTTAAGCAAATTATATTATATAAGACACAACACTGTACTGTGGTAAAAAAAGTTTTTTTTAATTATTTGCTTATATAGAATGATGTTTGCTACATAAAGTGTTGTATTTTGAATTCACACACTACTTGTGTAAAGATATCTAGTTCTGTAAATGTTGAGTTTGTACTGTTGAGATTAAGGGGATATTTGAAACTTCTTGACTGAAAATTTTTCTCGTCAAAATTGAAGCATAGATTTGTGTTAATACAAGAAAATTCTGGTAAAAAAGCCATAAAAATTGTTCTGACTTTGACACTACATATATTAGATAATAATGATGTTAGTGTTAGCAGTGTTTTGTTGATCTGACATATCAGAGAAGACAGAAAAAATCAGAACTGATATTGATTTTTGATCTCTTGGGTATAAGTGTATTGACACCTAGATTTGTGTATTGGATTTTATTGTGTACTGAATGAACTGAGACGACTAATGCATCCTTGGATGAATATACATAAAATATTTGGAATTAATTAAGTTTAATATTGTGAGATATTAGCATAAATGGATGTACTTTATATGGACAATTTTCGTATGTAAAACTGGTACATTAAACATGTGTTCTACTTATGCAATAGCTTTTGTGCAATAGGTCTGAAGGCCATCTGAAATTTAAGATGAATTTATGGAGGTGAATGGAGTGATATTAAACAAGAAATATGAGTTCTTTTACCTGTGAATGGATTACATACCAAGTAGTTTGCAAATTTTCACATCAGTATGGACAACAGTTTTCTACTTTTGTTTGTGTTATTTTGAATCTTTCGCTATCTCAAGAACACTTGCAAATACAGCTTTAGTGGGATGGACAGCTGCCGAGTGTTAAGTAATGGAAGTAACTGAAGGTGCAGATTTCTGTAAAAATACTTTAAGGAAAGCATGGAGATCAACAAAAAGTATCTATTGTTGAATGGCATACTGCTATTTGATGTGAAAATTGCAGAAGATCTTGTAAAATATTGATAACCAAAGCACTGTTTCCACTAGATTTAACAAAAATATTCTGTTAGGCTTCGCTTATCTGATCACTTTCCTTGTCACTCTTTGTTATTAATGTATTTGTTATGTTTGCCTATTTGTGTTAATTTTATATTTATATTGTCACATTCCAAATTTTGTGTTTTTTAAATTGAATTCTTGTATTTCTGTGATTTTGGATCTACTTAGAAATAAAAAGCCAATTAACTCATTTGAAAAACTAGAGAATATGTTGATTTTTTTTGGCGTTTACTTCATTGATAATAAAAATATTTCGTGTCTGAATAGTTGAAAATAGACCTCTTTATTACAGATTAGTTTTTGATTAACGAATGCCTCGTTATGTGTCATCGTTGTAAAATTATAATGCAAAAGCAACCAAAGTAAATATTTGGAAATATTTTACAATTTGAATTATTTTTCACATCATTATTTTAACAGCTTTGAAAAAAAAGTTTGTTGGATGATGCAGTGCCTCTCATGTGTCCAATGTCTGTCATGTGTTTTATTTTGCTGGGTTTATGACGTTCATTATAATTTGAGACAGGGTTCCGATGCATTATCTAGTGGATACCTCTATGAATATCATGCGAGAGGCCAACCACATTTTCTATGGAGTAATTGGAATTAACATCTTGTCCAAGGTTGCAACCACAGCAAGACAGGAAAGACAGCTTCCTGAGAAATACCAACCAACCAGGAGAGGGATCTAACCACACTTTTTGGATTTTAAACAGTTTGCGACTTTTTTTTTTGGTCAGCTAAGAAAAATATATATGTATTTCATAACCTGTGGCAAGCAACACCTACTAAATGTTATATGATTGAAAATTCTATCTTCCCATGCTCTAACAGCAGAGAGAGGCAGGGCCAAACATGGGAAAATGGGTAAAAAAAGTTTCGAAACTCACTTTTCTGAAATAACTTCCTTAATTGGGGAAAATTTGTAGTTTCCTACTTCTGATCAATCTTCTTCAATGTATCTGCAGTTTTCTTCTCTTCGTCCTGCAACATATGGATTGTTTTATATTGCACTTCTTCTGTCTGGTCTTTGCCTGTCTGTATTTGGTATAGTCCTGTCGTCCAGCAATGGTCCCATCCTATGGTCTTTATCAAGAAATTGTGTAATCAACCATTGCCTTTGACCACTTTTGAAATAAACAACTTTGTAAAAGATATCTCATGAACGCCCTTAATGGATTAACCCGCTCAACAGATTAAGATCAGATGAAAATGTGAACCTCTGCTCAGTTTGTTTTTAGCTCACCTGGTCTTAAGGACCTGTGAGCTTAAGTCATGGTGTGGCATCCAGCAACAGTACGGCATCCTGCAAGTTCTTTAAAATCCTACTCCCCCTGTAGGATTGATGGATTTTGCTCAAATTTAGTCTGCAACTTTCTTGGTTGAAAGAAAATCAATCTTTCACAGTAGTAAGGGGCCCAAAAGTGGAAATAGTTCTTTGAAATCCTACTCCTATTGGAATGATTGGATTTTAGCCAAATTTGGTCTGCAGTATTTATGGGTGAAAGGGAATCAGTTCTGTATCAATTGTGCATCCTGGCCCTGATGAGTAAGAGGGTTGGGCCCTATGGAGGGAATGTCATTTCTTCAAAATCCCTGTTTTACATCAGGATATTGTCCAAGTTTGGTCTAAAGCAATTTGTTTGAATAGTGAATCTGAGTTCTGTTAGACCACAAAACAGGGGCCCAACAGGGAAATCATATAAGAAATTGTCTGTCATATTTGAAATTCTTTATTCAACGGCTAAATAGCTCAATTAGCCAATGCAGGCCCCTTAATGACTACTCTGATCAGTTTTCAAACAATTCTTTAAACAAAATTATCATTTTGTAGTGCTTATGAAACAGGTACCATTTTGCTTTGTCTCGAAAATGCTTGTGCCCAATATTGTGGTGAGGTTTGTCTTGTTCTTTTCTTTCTTGTACTACCAAATTTCATGCTTGTATTGGTTGAAATTTGTTTTGTATGCACTATTAATTTGTTTGATGTGTTACTATGACTTTAGTATTAAGGAAGGTTGCGATAGCTTAGTTGGTTACAGAGTTGGAACCTGAGGTGAGGATCCAAGGTGCATAGCCTGTGACAGTTTGTTTTACAGAAAACTGAGAAACAGACCAGTCAGTATTTTCTTAATTGTGTTATTGGACGAGCCACAATACCCTAATTGCTCTGGACAGCATTAAACAGGCCAGGGCAATAGACCTGGCAAAAAGAAGACCCCCAGTGTTTATACTCATTCCATTCCTCCTCTGATTGTATTATTCCTGTTTGGTGGTCTGCCTTGGTTTTTAGTTCACATAGCCTTGCAGGCCCATGATGAAGCCAAGCAAAGCAAAGTTTGTGAAAAGAAATTATCCTGACCCATATTGATGGTCACAGGATCAAATTTGTTAAAACCTGTAAAAGACTTTATTTGGTAAATGAATAATCCAAGAAGCAGGATATTTGGTAGAAAGTGTTTCCAGGTCAAAGCTCAACAAATTTTTAGAAAATCAGAAATGGCATTTTCCTTTAAGTATAATCCAGGTCATAACTGTCACTGTTTAAGAGTTGGGTATTAGAAGCTATTTGTTGTGGAAATCTGCCAAAAAAAAAAAAAATTATTGGATGTGCCTACTTTGTATGGCAATAGTGTACATGCCAATATATTTGTGATATAAACACTGATTCTATTTTTAGGTCACAAGAGACTTCTGATGGCCTATTCTAATCACCTTCATCCGGTGTTGTGCATTTTGCATTGTGCATCTGTAATCATTTTCAGCTTCTCAAAAACCCCTGATCTGATTTCATTGAAATTTTGCTGAAACCTTCTCTGGCCTAAGATGAACCAAAATTGAAAACTATACAGCCCCACCACCCATGAGCCTGAGGGGCGGGGCCAAAAGGGGTCAAATTGACTTAAATTTCAAAAATCTTCCTCTCAAGACCCAGATACGATAAAATCAAATACTTCTCATGAATGGAAGCATCTTAAGGTGCTTTTCTAAAATTTTGAATTTCACAGCCCCAGGGTCTCACATTTGCCTGTGAGGAGGGGGTAAAGTTCACAATAGTTTCTATTGAAAACTAGATATTTGAGCATAATTTGTTTAATTTTTATTGGAAATATTTCAAACTTACTTAGAATTTTATGAGTGAATGATGACGATGTGAAGGTATACCCATATTATCATGGCAGACTCCCAGGGACTGATGTGCGGGGCCACACAGTGTGATTCTGTTTGCCAATCCTTGTACAGGGTGTCTTGTCATTAACCACACTGTGTTATGCTGTTTGACAATCCTTGTACAGGGTGTCTTGCCATTAACCCCCCCACACTGTGTTATGTTGTTTGACAATCTCTGTACAGGGGGTTTTATCATTAACCACACTGTGTTATGTTGTTTGACAATCTCTGTACAGGGGGTTTTATCATTAACCACACAGTGTGATTCTGTTTGACAATCTCTGTACAGGGGGTTTTATCATTAACCACACTGTGTTATGTTGTTTGACAATCTCTGTACAGGGGGTTTTATCATTAACCACAAAGTGTGATTCTGTTTGACAATCTCTGTACAGGGGTCTTGCCATTAACCACACTGTGTTATGTTGTTTGACAATCTCTGTACCGAGGGTTTTATAATTAACCACACTGTGTTATGTTGTTTGACAATCCTTGTAGAGGGGGTTTTATCATTAACCACACTGTGTTATGTTGTTTGACAATCTCTGTACAGGGGTCTTGCCATTAACCACACTGTGTTATGTTGTTTGACAATACTTGTACACAGGGGTCTTGCCATTAACCACACAGTGTGATTCTGTTTGACAATCTCTGTACAGGGTGTCTTGTCATTAACCAGACTGTGTTATGTTGTTTGACAATCTCTGTACAGGGGTCTTGCCATTAACCACACTGTGTTATGTTGTTTGACAATCTCTGTACAGGAGTCTTGCCACTAACCACACAGTGTTATGTTGTTTGACAATCTCTGTACAGGGGGTTTTATCATTAACCACACTGTGTTATGTTGTTTGACAATCCTTGTACAGGGGGTTTTATCATTAACCACACTGTGTTATGTTGTTTGACAATCCTTGTACAGGGGGTTTTATCATTAACCACACTGTGTTATGTTGTTTGACAATCTCTGTACAGGGGTCTTGCCATTAACCACACTGTGTTATGTTGTTTGACAATCTCTGTACCGAGGGTTTTATAATTAACCACACTGTGTTATGTTGTTTGACAATTTCTGTACAAGGGGTTTTATCATTAACCACAAAGTGTGATTCTGTTTGACAATCTCTGTACAAGGGTCTTGTCATTAACCACAAAGTGTGATTCTATTTGACAATCTCTGTACAGGGTGTCTTGTCATTAACCACACCGTGTTATGTTGTTTGACAATCTCTGTACAGGGGTCTTGCCATTAACCACACCGTGTTATGCTGTTTGACAATCTCTGTACAGGTTTTTTTTATCATTAACCACACTGTGTTATGTTGTTTGACAATCCTTGTACAGGGGGTTTTATCATTAGACACACTGTGTTATGTTGTTTGACAATACTTGTACAGGGGTCTTGCCATTAACCACACAGTGTGATTCTGTTTGACAATCTCTGTACAGGGTGTCTTGTCATTAACCACACTGTGTTATGTTGTTTGACAATCTCTGTACAGGGGTCTTGCCATTAACCACACAGTGTTATGTTGTTTGACAATCTCTGTACAGGGTGTCTTGTCATTAACCACACTGTGTTATGTTGTTTGACAATCCTTGTATAGGGGGTTTTATCATTAACCACACAGTGTTATGTTGTTTGACAATCTCTGTACAGGTGGTTTTATCATGAACCACACTGTGTTATGTTGTTTGACAATCCTTGTACAGGGGTCTTGCCATTAACCACACAGTGTGATTCTGTTTAACAATCTCTGTACAGGGTGTCTTGTCATTAACCACACTGTGTTATGTTGTTTGACAATCTCTGTACAGGGGTCTTGCCATTAACCACACCGTGTGTTGTTTGACAATCCTTGTACAGGGGTCTTGAAAATAACCACACAGTGTGATTCTGTTTGACAATCTCTGTACAGGGGTTTTTTTTTGATCACTTGTCATTAACCACACTGTGTTATGTTGTTTGACAATCCTTGTA